CCCCTGCTTGCAATTCCAATCCTCTTTCTCCCCGAAAAATAGACACCCCACCCCCCCCACCCCCAATCTTCTGGATGTGTGTGTGAATGCGCGCGTGTCTTCTTGCCTACCGGCGGGCGCGTAATCCTCGCCACCAGCTTTAAAACTAGGGCGCAGAGGCTGGAGGGAAGCCTCCTTCTCCCCGGCTCGGTTGGCCCGGTACAAAGGGACGGGCCGCTCTTTTCATTTCATTTGGATTTTCCTTGCCAGTGTTCGAGGCGCGTTTCTCTCTTTTGTAGCCGGTTGGCAAACGGCCATTGCGAGAAACAGCTAAACAACAACGACCTCCGAGGGCCCCGAGCTGGCGGCAGTGGGAAAGCGGCCGCCTTTATTGATCTGGGTCGGGCCCTCGAAGGCTACGACGTTTCGCTTTCTCTCTCCCTGCCGGGCCAGCTTTCCGCGCGGCTGGTGGGGCTCTCGGAGCAAGGTCTCCGGATCCCCTGCCGCTTACTTCTGAGTAGACAGAGAAAGATGCCCCCTTCCCGGAAAGGGAGCTTCAGAGAGAGAGAGAGAAAGAGAGAGAGAGAAAGGGCCGCCGCTCTTCTTTTGTTCTCATTAATGCCGTCAAAAACGAGAACGAGAGAGAGCAGAGAGGAGAAGATAGGGATGTACCAAATAATAATAATAATAATAATAATAATAATAATAATAATAATAATAATAATAATAATAATAATAATAATAATAATAATAATAATATAATATAAAAAGGAAAGCATCTAAAATAGTTTCCAAAGTTGTTTTTCTTCCCCACATATAGGGCAGGTTGTTTGGGGTCCAAGATAGCTTGACTGAAGCTTGTTTACGAGTGTGTAAATAAATATATAGGGCGGTATCGTAGGCAACTGGATGCTAGAACTTTATTAGGCTACTATATGATTCGAGTTTCTCTGCTTGGTTATTGATTTGGAACGCTCCCGTAGTTTTAACGCGGCGTCCAAAAAGGTAGCAGCTGCATAAAATAATGCAGGGAGAGAAAAACCCTTCCATTTTTTTATATTTTTATTTTTTACCAAGTTGATTTTTCTAATTCCGTGTTGTTTATATTGTCAAACTTTGTTCCAAATTCTGGAGCAGGGAAATAAAGAAAGTGAAATATTGCCGTCAAACTATTTTTCAGTTGTATCTGTGAGAGAAGGCACGTAACCCCCCCACACCAGCAAAGCGTGAGAGTTGTAAATGTTTGGGTTGAATGGTCGAGATTAACGTAAAAGACGTGTAACGTGGAGGAGAAAAATAAGCCATCGAATAATAGCCATAACAACAATAAGAAAAGCGGCAGCAGTAATAAACGCAGCAGTAAATACAGTGGAAAGGACGAGGCGGTCTATTTTTAAAAAGCAGTTCACCGCCGGGTGAGAAAAGAAGAATTAAAAATATCCTCCGATCCTTCTTAAAAAGGATTTGAAGGTTCAACGCGGACGTTTTTTATTTGCATTATTTGATTTTTGTCGGCCACCTTCTTCCCCTTTGCTAAATTAGATAAACAATCTCGCGTTCTCTCTCGGGAGGGATGCGATGCGATGCATACCCCTCTATCCCACCCCCACCCCCACCCCACCCCACCCCAAATCTTCAGTGGCTCAAGGCAGCTTGCATCGAGCCGAGGGTGGGGTGTCGCGGAGAGCCCTCTGCCAGTTGCCAGATAGTTTTGGTGCAGCGGCAGCCGACCTTCCTTTGTCTGGCGGGGTGCGGGGGCTTCCAAACGCGGCTGGAGCAATTCAACCGTCCTCTCCACCGCTCAGAAAAATAAGACTCGGAGGACCGGCGGGTTTTTCTTCTCTCCGAGATATGCGCAGAGACCGAAGGCGCCCAGCGCTTCGCAGATGTTCGTTCCCCTCCCCCACAGCCGGGCCTGTCACTTTGTTTTGCTGTTTGTTTACATTGCGCCCATCACAGTTTTTCCTCCCCCCCCTTCTGGGTGGCGTTCCAGGGAAGCCCCGGGTGGGCTGGGGTAGGGGGGGTAGGGGGAGGGAGCTTCTCCCTGGCTGCCCACCATCCACCCGTCCTTTGTGAGTCGCCCGTTGTGGGTCGAAAGCTGGGTTTGTCCCGCTGGCGGGAGGGTGCCTGCAAGAGGAGCAGGAAGTTAGGGGAGCGAGGTTCTAAGAAGGCCCGGGATCTCCACCCCTCCCCACGCCTTCTGCCCTCCTGGAACCGAGGCAGAGGAGACGCGATCTCCAAATAAAGCAGCCCCGCGGGAGTGACGGGCAGAGGGCCGCGCGTGGGTGCTGTGTCAGTTAGGTGCCAATGCAAATTCCCTGTCCTCGCGTGTGTGCGTGTGCTCCCGCTTTGCTTGCCCGCCCAGAGAGGCGAGTCTGAAGCCACCGGCGAGGGATCTTTGCTGGAGGGAGAGGGCAGGCGGTGGGGCGGTGGGGGCGGGCGGGCAGGCGACCCCGGCAGACGGCGGCTCCGGTTTTTGCGAACTAAGGAGGCTGCGGAGAGGGAGGAAGGCTGGCCGGGAAAGGAAAGAGGGGCGGAAGAGAGAGGCCGAGCAGACGCGAGGGGTCAGGCTAAGCTGGGGCGAAAGCAACGGCGGTGGGGTCGGGCTGGAGAGAAGGCCCCGGCCGGCCTCGGATCCCAGCTTTTCTGCCTTGGGGGTTCCACTGGCTCCGAGACGCGCTGCGCCTTTGCGCGGCCCGAGAGCCAGCCCGAAGGGCGCCGCCTCCTCTCTGCCTTTTTTTTTGTGTGGCTCTGGTTCTGAGCGATGGTTTGTCCTGTTGGTTTGTCTCCCCGCCTCCTGCAGGCTCCAGCACCAGGCGATCGGACAGAGCGGCATGCGGTCCTTGTCAGAACCTGGCTGCCCGACGCACAGTTCGGCGGAGTCTCCGTCCACGGCGGCCAGCCCCACTACCAGCGTCTCCAGTTTGACAGAAAGAGCCGAGACGGGGACCTCCATCCTCTCGGTAACCTCCAGCGACTCAGAATGTGATGTATGATAATGGAAAGGAACAAAAGCTAAGAAAATAATAATAATAATATTAATAATAATTAAAACAAAAACTAGCAAAAGGCAAAAAAATGAGCCCCCATCCCCATCCCGAGCAAGCGCGCGCCGGCTCCCTCGACGAACTGCCCCAGCTCCCCCGAGAGAAAAAGCCACCTCAGAACAACCCTAGAAAGAGAACCGGAAAAAAAAAAGAGAAGCAGACACTTAAAACGCATTTAAAAATAAATAAAACCAACCCTTGCTTAACAAATAAAAGAAATAAAACAAACAATCCACTCAGTAAAGGAACAGAACAAAATTAACGTTGTGAATTTCTGATGCTGCAGCTGGGAAATAATAATTGTGATAATACTGTGCTATTATGAATATTATTACCGGAAAAGGGAAAAGAAAGAGAGAGAAAGAAAGAAAGAAAGAAAGAAAGAAAGAAAGAAAGAAAGAAAGAAAGAAAGAAAGAAAGAAAGAAAGAAGAAAAAAGAAAGAAAGGTGACATTTGTATTCTTTGTAGGACAAAAGCACATTTGAGCGCTTTTCTTTTTAATTTTTATAAATTTTATTTTAATGTTTGCGCTTTCCCATGGACTGCATTACACCCATTTTGCATGATAATGATTCAGTTTGCATCTGGGGAAAATATAATATTCTCTATACTAAATGAACACAATAATAATAAAGACTAGGGTGCGGGAAAGGAAAACGCCGATCAAATTTGTACAAAAAGAGAGAAAAGCTTTTACAAAAATTTAAAGGAACTCTTTGAAGAGGGAAATAACTAATGTTTATCACTTTTTGTTGGGTTTTAATCAGCTGATCTTTTTTCCCCAAATCCAAGTGATGGTTTGAAGTAGATGCAATTGGTTTGCCCTGCTCCTCTTCCTCTCTCCTCCTCCTGTTTTTTTTTATTGTTTTATTTTTAAAATTGTTATTCTTTTGTTCAACAGACAATCATTTTCTTCCTAAGCACCTTTTTTTCTACACTTCTGTCACTGCCTGTGTGGGTACTGGTTATAAATGTGGAAAAAGAATAGTTATGACTGTAACAGATTTTTATTTTTATTTCAAAATTTTATATGAATTATGTATATCTTAATGATGAGGTCATTTTTCCCAGTTTGTAATATATGTGTAGAAAATACTTGTATATGATACTTGCTCTTCTCTTCTTGTGTCCCTGTCTTGCCCTCGCCCTTCCCCCCCCTTCTCTTTCCTTCTTAAAAAAAAAAAAAAAAGACAGAAAAGAAACATTTTCCCTGACTTGGGTTTCTTGCACAAACGTAGCTGTCAAGAGGTGACAGACTAGGTTTTCAAAAGGGACCTCAGTGATAGAAGAAACGAGGCTTCGGGTTCCACTGTAGTTTTCTTATGCAAAAGCATTTTGAGTATTTAAATAGCAGCTGTTGAGGTCTCTTCTTAAATTCACTGTAGGATGCTTATGCCACTGTTTCCTTTACTGCGTGTCTATCTCTATGTACAAACTTTCTTAAAAAAAAAAAATCAAATACAGTATTCCATTTTTTTCTTATCTATTTAGTGATGTTGGTGTGTTTTCTGTATTGCTGGTAATTGTTTCCTGCTCTTATTTCTCCTCCTCCTCCTCCCACAGAGAAGCTGGGCTTCATGCTAAAAAGGTATATCCCTGCAGGCTTGTTTCAGTAAAGAGGTGCCTAATGAGCGATAGGGCTTCTGGCTCCAGAAGCCACTTGAACAGCATCATTTGGGGCTCAGCCTTCAAGGCCCCTTGCCGCATAATCCTACATGGGTCTACTAAAAAGTAAGAGAAATAAAGTCCATTGGCCGAGATGAGGCCGACTCAAGCAGGAGAAGCAGAAAGGGTTGCAGCCCTAATTGTCAAAAGGTTTGCTCTAGTCTAAGGCTTGCCCTTTCAGCTCTGTAGGATTCCCACCGGTCCGCAGTCTTTAGGAGGTGGTTGGGAAAAGTTTCCGTTCACTCAAAGTCAGTTTGCTGGAACTAAACCTCCACTGAACTCCATTAACTGACTTCCGGATCAGAGTGCATTCAGGACCCAGCTTGAAAATCCCCCAAGATAATGACTTGTGAGCCTTTGGCACATATGGGGCATGCTTTTAAAACATATTTGGGGGCACGGGAGTTAGATAGGTATGGCCAAACGAGGGAGGGGTGGATATGGGAGGTCTCAAAACCTTGTTCTGTGCTCCTAGGGCGAATGGCCGGACCTCAAACTCCCTGCCGAGTGCTCCTGGCTAAAGAAGGCTACGGGTTTTCCTCCAGACACCAGTCTACCCCTTCAAATTGCTAGGAGGAGATAGAGGGGCCTAGTTTAAAGCAGCAAGAAGGATAAGGAAGCGTGTTCGGGCACCTTACCTACTATCCAGGAGGATCACAAGGTCTTTTGCCAGGTACAGCCCTTGGACAAAGAGAATCTCCTGATGCGTCAGCCTTGCGATTGGTCTTATCTGGCTTTTCCTCCAAACAAGGTTGGAAAGTCCCTCAAGTGGTACCAGAGCTTACCTCGCCTGCATTGGGGGAAAAGGGGAGGTTATGGCTGCTAAGTCAACCTCTGTGGCAGGTGCTCTAAATTAACGTTCTTGTCAGGAAGAGTCACTTACTTCTGCCCATTATGCCTAGATTGGTGCTGCTCAGCATATTGGCGACAGGAAGGGCCCCCTCACTGCCCTGGTGCTCTCCCCCTTCAAAGGCATGGCAACACGTTGGGGGGTCTGGATCCCTCTTTAGATGGCATCCTGCCCTTTTGAGCCCTCAAAGTGGACAGGGCTGTATCCTCAGGAATAGCCTGTCCTTCAGTCCCCCAGCTGGGATATTGGGAACTGGAATCCCACCGGTGGCACTAATTTAAGGACGGATCATGTAGACAGCTGCTTTTCCATAAGATTCCACTTCTGTCCTACTTTCCCTTTCCTTCCTTCCTTCCTTCCTTCCTTCCTTCCTTCCTTCCTTCCTTCCTTCCTTCCCATCCTTGGTCCAAATTAGGCTTTTCCGCGGTGTTGTGCTTTGCTTAGGTGAATTCCAAACAAGAGTTTAAGATGGGTGGGCTTTTTTGTTTTGTTTTTTCTCGGTCTGCAACTTTAAAAGCAAACACGGCAGCGCTACAAGCCTCCCAAAGCAAACTAAGGAACTCCTTCCTTAATCAGTTTACGGCTCCTCCCCCCCCAGTCCTCAGGAGCTGCTTAATGCGCTGAAAAGGCCCTTTCTTTGCCCGGACGAAGAAGGGTCCTGCGTCACCTTCGGCGCATTCAAAAGTTTCGGCTTGGCCCGGGGCTGGTTAGTCAAGCGTGAATTAAGAAGGGGTGAATTCTAAACGTGTTTTTACTTGAAAATACAATTTTGAAACGTTGATTGGGATTAAGGCACTAACGTGCCTGGAATGTTTCTTGACCATTTCGAAACGCGTTTGGGATTTCCGAAATATCTCCCTCTTGCCGTCTGATGTGAGGCGGTGTGTGTGTGTGTTAGGAAGAGATCTTTGATTTGGGAGGCCTGGTGTTTTTAACCAGAGGAATTGGAGTAGCGCAGACGTAATATTTTAAGAGGGAACGTTGCTGCTAGCTCGGACAAAACCCTAGTTTGCTTAAGAATCAGTCCCATTGGATTTACGTCTAGCAAAACCGGGTAGCTGTGGTCTGTTTGGGGCTGAACGACGGGCTGAAGCCCCACCGATTTCAGGAGAAACCACCAAGGCGCGCGAGGCCTCCCCTCTCCCTTGAAGCGCCAGGTGGGAGTTTGAAGCTTTTGACTTGATCTGAATCGTTCCCACTGACCCCTCCCGCCCCCCTCTTTTAAAAAATAATAATAATAACGGCCCGTCACCGAGAAAACAGGGTCAGAGGAGAGAGCAAGAGAAATCCACTGACTGTGTCTGCCTCCTGAGCTTGTTGAGAGATTGTGCTTCCGGACTTAGGGCGTAGAGAAAAGCTGGAGGTTTCAAAAGTAAGAGGGAAAATGCAGGAGAGTTGAGATGGCTTAACTGGAATGGCGGAGCCACGGCTGCAAAGAGACTGCACAGGCAGGAAAGGACTTGCTCTCTCGAGCCTTGAAAGGCCTTAAAAAAAAGATCAGCCCCGCCACACTGATAGAAATAAAAGGCGGCCTTTCCCTACGGAGCTCCTAGAAATACCCCCACCCTGCTTGAGTTAGAAATAATTGCAAATATTTGTAGCTCGGGTGGTAGGTGGTGGTGGTGGTGGTAGTTTGTATTCCGAGCAAGTTCGGAGAACAAACCACCACCAACAGACCCTCCCTGAGTTCTGCGTCGCTGTAAAATAGGTTTAGGCCGGTTCCTGCGAGAACCTGATTTGCTTAATCTAAGGCCCTTTCCTTCTCTCGGATTGCCTGGAATTGCGTGGTTTGCAACCGGGTTCAAACTCATAACCTGGGATGCAACTTCCTGGTACTGATTCTCTCTGGAAGAAAGAGGAATCTGCCCTTGTGCTCAGGAGGGTCGCTCGGCCCCTCTCCAAGCGGTCGGCTTGTAACGTTGGCGGGAGGCGATAGTAAAGGAGAGCAGCCATTTGGCCTCTCGGCGAGCCCCTTCCCCACTTTAACAGAGGAAAAAGCGCTGCACGCAATCCGGAGAAAAATGCAGACATGTTTGACCGAATTCTAGACTGTAGTGAAGAGGATTTGTTCCCAAGTAATACTGTGCAGGAGACACCAAAAAGCCAGCTCAAGTGTATAGGGAATGCTTTCAATTGAGCTTTAACAACCCAGTTCACAAGCGCCCCGAAGTGGGGCCTTAACAAAATTCACTTCGAGGTCACTAAGTCGGCTGTTAGCCTCTCACCTGCCTCGAAATGGAGAAATAAAGGAATATCTGACCCACCGTGCCAGATTATGTATGTCGAAAAGAGCGAGAAGGGCTAGACCAGAAGCGGCAGAAATCGGCTAGATCTTGTCCGAATCGGTGTGAAACGTGCTGACCTGATTCATACAAATTTTAGGCATTTGCTTGGGGTCAACTCCTCCCCAGGTAGAAGAAGCTACTTG